TTCAAAGAAGAGGTCTTTGCATGTAGCAGTGCTCGCATGCAGGCCAGCGTGGCTTTGGAGCTTTGTTGGTTTGAGTGAGGGATGGTGCCGTCTCCTGGGCTTAGTTCCGGTGGTTGTCTGCACGAACACCTTCTTCAGCTTCTAGGCCTGGTTAACTCCTATATATTCATCAGCCCTTGGTTTGATCTTATTTCTTAAAAAAAACTTTCCTTTACCCCAATTCTGCTCTCACAGGCTCTTTTATTCCAGACTCTTGAACTCATGCTTTATGTGACACTATAGGATGTGTAACACTGTAGAAAGTTGTTTTTGCCTCTCCCATTAGACTAAATTACTCAAGAGTAGGAGCTAATGTCTTCTTCCCCATTTTGCCCTTTTTTGGAATCCGGGCTCTAGCACAGCACCCAGCACTGTTTCTGGTCATTTCACTGCAGGCATCTTCATTGTCTTGCTGCAAATATTTTTACCACATAACTAATTGGTCAAAAGGCAATTTTACCATCAAGGGACATTCAAAAGGACATCTTGAAACATGAAATTAATAACAAAATACTGAAAATGTATTTAAAAGTTGCATAGATTCATGGCAATATTGTACAAAGAACTGACTTTCTTTTGTGGATTGTACCTAAGAACTTGTCTTCCAAGTCTTTTATTTGTTCATTCATTGTACTTCTCTCTTTTTCTTTTATTTTTTCAGTGATCAAATTTACTACAAATGTGATATCAGAGAGTGGAAAGCCAGATTGCATACTTCTTACTACACCCAAAAAAATTGATCAATTTGCAAAGAGTTAGTGTCTTGTTTTGTTATTAGAGAAATGAAACCAAACTGTCAACCAGTGTCAATTCTCTTCTCTTTTATGGCAAAGTTTCTGTATAACCAACTAGTTATGGGATGAGACTGCTTGCTGCAGAATGACATATGGCGAAACTATTTACAAAAAAATTACCTAGAACCTTGTATATGTAGTAGGCTCTCAAAAAGTCATGTTGGTAGAATTTATGGTTCTTTTATGATTCATTACAGCAATAAGGTGGTTGTTGTAGAGTGTGAATAGGGTGTTGGCTAGGAGAGGGGAGCCCCTTCTTCCTGCTTCCTCTACTTCCTGGGTTACAGGGAGTTGAACTTGGCCACCCTTGTTGGTTCATTTGAATTCCAAGACAATGACCCATCATTTTAGTAACTTCTACGGGGAGCAGCAAGGAAGAGGGTGAGCAGGGAAGTGGGCAATAGGGGAAGTCTTCACCCCCCCAACCCCCTACCCCCGCTCCATTATATTTACTTTATTTATTTATTTTTAAAGATTTATTTATTTGTGCATAGAAGAACTGGGGTACAGGCCAGAGGTGTGGGGGTGAGAGGATTTACCAGAGACAGAGTGGGGAACAGAACAGACAGACTGAATGAAATACACTGCTGAGGCGAGCAGCGGGCGAGGCAGGAGAGGTCTGCTGTGCTATGTGGGTGGCTCCCTGGCTGGCCAGGGATCGAACTCGTGCTGCAGAGGCTGTGGTTAGCTTCATAGGTTGTGTCTTAAACCCTTGCGCCTCCAGGGAGGACCCATTATATTTACTTTCAACTCACTTCTAATTTTACTTTGTCCCAGGACACAGATATATGCTCAATGAAATGGGTGATTTTCATCTTTGTACTTCAGCCTTTCCAAATCACACTGAGGACTGCACACTGAGTGCCACCTGAACCAGTGTGGAAAGAAGCAGCGAGGGGTGGGAGTCCTGTCACAGAGACACAAGAGAAGACAAAATAGGGGCTGCTGCTATTTTGGCCTGATTTCTCTTTTCTGCTTCATGTTCCTTTTGTGATTTTTTGTAAGCTAGAATGTATTTTTATTCCTAGAATGCTGTCTGACCAGTTGTTTGCCTTTCTTCTTCCTGATATTTGCTAATACTTACTCGCTTTGTTCCTCATAGCCAACCCTTGTTCCTTTCAGCATAAAAGAGAGACAATGCATGGAGACCTGAAAGGGGAATTTGACCTGAACCTTGCATTTCAGTTTCCAAAGAAGAACACTTCCCTTATTCTTCCTTTTGTAATTTCTATTTATCACAGTTTGTTTAT